TGGACAAAAGCAAAAAGGAGATTGAAAAGGTCGACGGCACGCTGAAGAGCCTTGCAACAATAAAGTGAGATCTAAATCGAATGATTTTAGATTTTTCTCTAATTCTGAACTTGCAGGGGTAAAACGGCATTTTTACTGCGAAACTTGGAGCATTTTTCCTCAACTTTCTTAAGGTCGGAAAGTCCTTCACCTTGAGAACTTTTTATATCGTTATAGTTCTCCAAAATTTTATGCTTGTAAAGATTTTCATCGTTGTTAGCAGAGCTTGAATTTTTTAACCTTGTGTGTATAGTATTTTCTGAGATTATCTTCTTATACATCATGCTCCAAATCCGTTTCTTCCAATGTGCACGTAGCCCGTTTGCGGTTGCTTCTGGAGCTATAGATTTCAAGAAAAGCTCCACATTTGGTTAATAGTGTGTTAAAGTCTGAAAATCTTGGTGCTTCACTCTTTAGTTATGATCCGCTAGTCTCTCACTCATCTTATCATTGTTCAGTTTTTGTTGTAAGCATTTACCTCGTTTCGAGCGAGTTAGTTGACTTTGGGTATCAAGTACCATTGATGACAGTCATGTGAATCAATTTGCTAATTGCACCTGTTTCCTGCCATTGTTGAGATGGATCGAGCTGTCAAGTGCTCTTTATGGGCTGATTAGAGATACATTTATGTAATTGTAATTTAGGCTGATAGGTTAGCAATAGAGCTTATGAACAATAAAAATTATTTGGATCATTTTTTGTTGTTTTATTTGGCTAAGTCCGTCACATTGCGTGAGCTAGAGTGGAACTGTAATTATTCAATATTTATATCTTAGAGGAGGTTCATGATAACGGCTAATAATGCTGACACGGACGAAGGATTTGGTGATATCAACGTCGATAATGGTTACGATATCGACTTGATAAAGGAAGAGGTACGGTGATATCAGGATATTCCAAATTTACATGGGGCAACGCCAGAAATACGCATAGGGGCCGTGGCAATTCGATTGGGGCATCCTCCTCCCTGAGAATCCGAGAATGGGTTGCGAAATTTTGAACTGGCATGAGTTATAAAATTGTTCAAGTGACTGACTTGTTTATACTTGTAGATAAAATTTTCTACCTTGTAGAAAATTTTCTTGGGTGTCCGCAAAAAATTTTTGGAAGGATACCAAAAATGTTTGGAGTGAGTATAGGCATTCGAAAAATCGTGACGATGCGCGACCGCGCGTGACACGCACTCAATTCCGGCAACCGCATACGTGAATGGTTTATCTGCTTATATATGATAAT